TCAGTTCTCACATCCGAAGTACTTCGGTTCTCACATCTGAAGTACTTCAGATGTAAGAACTGAAGTTTCTGATGTGTGATTATCCGAACCTTGACAGCTAGACCTAAAGTGTTCAGATGCTCAATCCGAAAACTTCAGAGATCCATATGACCTAAACTTCAGGTCCCACGCACAAGGTTTTTTTCTCCGTGTAGCATATCTACATATATTCATAGCCGTGCTTCGTTCAAAAATATAGGAAAATTAAAAGCAAAGGAAATAGGATTGTGGATGCGAAAAGAAGAAAGCAAAATGCAACATAACCGTACCTAATTAATTTACTTGAATGATGAAAAAGAAGAAGAAGAAAGAAGCAAAATGCAACATAACCGTACCTAATTAATTCACTCGAATGATGAAAAAGAAGAAGAAGAAAGAAACAGGGTGAAAATTTAAAGTGTAAGCAAACTTTTCTCATTTTCGCGCGAATTCGTCGGAAGTGTGATGCAATTCAAAATCAGTCTGGGAAAAATTAGGGCGCCCAGATCGAGGTCGTAATTCTAGACGGATCGGAAGTAGAGATTAGAGAAAACAAAACCGCCCCCTGCAGCCGAAGAAGGAGGGATTAGCCGGATGATTATCGGTATCGGGAGCGTAGTGGCTCGGGCGATGAGCTTTGCGTCGAGTTTTACCGTTTGCTGGAAACCGGAGCCGAGTCGACGAGGGTCAAGACGGCGCCGTCCCTGAACTTGGCCCGTCCCTGCTCATTGTCGCCTCTCCGGCTGCCAACTTTGCCCCGCCAGCGGAGCTTCCAAGCTGCCCGGATCAACGATCCTGGAGCCTTGAGTCCTGCCGCCGCGTCGCGACTAGAATACTCCATAGAGTACATGGAGTCGTAATGTAAATGGGAGAGCTGGCGCCATGTTCTGCTCGACGAATTCCGAGCCCGGTGTGCGCCGAGTTCGGGTCGCTTTCTTGATACATTTTCGATCCAAAATGGCGGTGTGGAATACGCAGAGACAAGAGACCCTCCACTAGTATCTTGGCCATGGTGGAAGCTTTTACTTTCGGTACTTCAGCATTCTACTGTTGACTTACCTACATGGTTGATGTTCAACAACGTGTTGGCAGTTTCGTTTTGCAAACAAGCCGAAAATGGCCGACGTTTGGGAAAGTTGTTTGGCTCATGACGTCATCCGAAGCTCATCATCGACCATGTAGGTAAGTCAACAGCCGAAAATAGGGTGATGACTGTTGCTCGCTAATAATTGTCCATAAGGAATTGTTGAAACCCCGAAAGTAAAAGCTTCCACCTGTCGCTAGGAGGCCAGTGGAGGGTCTCTTGTCTCTGGGAATACGTGGTAATTCCTATCTCCTTTGTTGTTGTTGTTGTTGTTGTTGTTGTCATCGGATGGCCGGGTACCCGTGTATCGCAAACTATCGATTATGTATCGAATAAGTGACCCGGCGTCACACAGGAGTCTCGGAATTCGGGACATGGAAAATGCTTAAAAGTGGCGCCAGCTCTCCCAACTACATTACGACTCTATGTACTCTATGGAATACTCGTCCAGGGTGTCCCAAGATTAAGTACGAATAATGAAGGAGTCGATTCTTCGAGTCAAAAGAAGACGTTTTTGTGGTATAACTTTTTTTCCAAAAACGCTTTCCGTGGGGACCCCATTATCAGCTTCTATTATTCCCTACTCTCGCCAGCTCCGCTCCCGTCGAAGTCGTAAAAATTTCTCAGGTCGCCTCCCGATGTTTTTGAAGCCTCATGAAATCCACTGGCGGCTTCAACAAGTGGCTCACTTTTTCCAGGGAGGGACTCCTTAGGCTTTTGGCTTTACAAAATTGTAGGTAATCTTTTTTTTAAGGGTTGATTGGGAACACAAATACCTACCTGAATAAACACATGTATTAAAAAAAGAAGAAAAAAATGAGAGGAAACATTCACTAGATTTTTTTCAACGCTTTGACCGAGATTTTATGAGAGCCAACAGAGGTTGGCTTCCTTTCATCCATTTTATCATTGATTCGTTTGTATCAGTTCAATCCACCAGTGATCCGATTAGATGATCCCGAAGCAATCATTGACGTAAGGCATATTTTCTGCGAGCTTTAGGTCCTGGCTTCTGTTTTACCAAGTTTATAATGGACCGTAGGTTGCTTTAAAGAGCTTGATGCAAAAACGGCTTTTTTCGCCCCCCCTCTGGAAGTTCTTCAGACTTTGTCTATTGATTACTCATACTTGAGCGCTTCTTTTCCCAAATTTTCAGACCCCCAAAAAATTTTGGGGGGGAGCTAGGGGGGGTGGAAGTCAAAACCTGTGAACCTCGATATCTCTTGAACAAAGAAAGATATCGAGGTCCGGTTTGGACGAAAAATCGTCTAAAATTGCATACTTTAAGATTCTAAAGGTCGAAATCCCGATATCACATTTTTAAGTCAACATATGTGCTTTTTTCCAGTTTTTAGGTCTAGAAAATTTCTTTTAAACGAAAAATTTACAAAGATCTCAATTTTTTATTTGAACCAAAACCAGTTTTTTAAATTGTTCGTCTTTTTCCGCATCCAACGAGTGGTCCATTAAGCTGGGGAACCAAACGGTTCCGGAGTTATGATCGATTGAAGTTTCCGCTCAACGCGCGCCGACCGATTTTCGCGCGCAAAAAAGTCGGATTTGACTGTTATTAGATCAGATTGAATGTTCAAACTGAGCAAAATGCTTTATTAGGGACTCTTGAGGGTCGCTGAGTTCAGAAATTACAGATACTTCCAAATAATTTACGTTTTTAAAATTACAGCTCCGCAGCGCTATTTTAGAGGCCCACTGAGCGCCGACCGGCCGCTCAGTGGTCCTGTCCGAAGCTGCAATTTTAAAAACGTGAATTTTTTGGAAGTATCGGTAATTTCTGAACTCAGCGACCCTCAAGAGTCCCTAATAAAGCATTTTGCTCAGTTTGAACATTCAATCTGATCTAATAACAGTCAAATCCGACTTTTTTGCGCGCGAAAATCGGTCGGCGCGCGTTGAGCGGAAACTTCAATCGATCATAACTCCGGAACCGTTTGGTTCCCCAGCTTAATGGACCACTCGTTGGATGCGGAAAAAGACGAACAATTTAAAAAACTGGTTTTGGTTCAAATAAAAAATTGAGATCTTTGTAAATTCTTCGTTTAAAAGAAATTTTCTAGACCTAAAAACTGGAAAAAAGCACAGATGTTGACTTAAAAATGTGATATCGGAATTTCGATCTTTAGAATCTTAAAGTATGCAATTTTAGACGATTTTTCGTCCAAACCGGACCTCGATATCTTTCTTTGTTCAAGAGATATCGAGGTTCACAGGTTTTGACTTCCACCCCCCCCCTAGTTCCCCCCCCCCAAACATTTTGGGGGTCTGAAAATTTGGGAAAAGAAGCGCTCAAGTATGAGTAATCAATAGACAAAGTCTGAAGAACTTCCAGAGGGGGGGCGAAAAAAGCCGTTTTTGCATCAAGCTCTTTCTGACCGAACTGTTTTCTAACGCTTTAGTCAAGTAAAACACAAATTTATTCAGTTGCATTAGCTCGTAAAATCAGTCATTCTATTGATTTTGCGCTCCAATTTCTTGCGAAACTACAAACCTGATATCGAAACTTGGCTGTTTTGAAAACGCCTTCAGTTGCGGCGTGATACCTCACGCATTCCGGAGAGTTCAAATAGTTGTATCATTGCGCCTTAGAAATGCGACGGAAGATTACAATTGAAATAGCCTTCATGCACGCTGGCCTTTCCGATTTCCGTTAACATTTTTGCAGTCATGAATGCATAGCTTACGTACACTCCAGCCAGAACTGTATTCGGCAAAAGAGTAGTTTTTATAGGATGATTGAAAACAAACAAATGGTAGGAAATGAAAACAAATTATATGAACTATGCAACGATTATCTGGATATCGGAACTTGGCTGTTTTGAAAACGCCTTCAAATGCGGCGTGATACCTCACGCATTCCGGAGAGTTCAAATAGTTGTATCATTGCGCTGTAAGAATGTGACGGGAGATTACAATTGAAATAGCCTTCATGCACGCTGGCCTTTTCGATTTCCGTTAACATTTTTGTAGTCATGAATGCATAGCTTAAGTGCGCTCTAGCTAGAATTGTATATAGCAAATGGGTAATCTCTATAGGAGGATCATAAATAAACAAGTGGTTGGAAATGAAAACAAATTATATGAACTATGCAACGATTATCTGGATATCGGAACTTGGCTGTTTTGAAAACGCCTTCAAATGCGGCGTGATACCTCACGCATTCCGGAGAGTTCAAATAGTTGTATCATTGCGCCGTAAGAATGTGACGGAAGATTAAATTGGAATAGCCTTCATACACGCTGGCTTTGTCGATTTCCTTTGACATTTTAGCAGTGGTGAATGCATAGCTGTAGTGCGCTCCAGCCAGAATTTTATTTAGCAAATGGGTGGTTTTTATACGAGGATGAAAAATAAATAAGTGATTCAGAATATATTAAAAGAATATGAACTATGCAAAACGATAATCCGGGTATCGGAACTTGGCTGTTTTGAAAACGCCTTCAAATGCGGCGTGATACCTCACGCATTCCGGAGAGTTCAAATAGTTGTATCATTGCGCCGTTGAAAACTGGAAACAATAATCAAATGGGAATGTTTTTCCCCCCCTCAAGAATGTCAAGGGAAACCGCAGAATGGCAGGGGATAAATTGCGTAAAAACTCACAGAATTTTGTTCGTTTATTTATTTACTTCTCTGACTGGTTTTTTTCTTTCACGTTCTATGTCTCTTCGTCCCGAGAGTCATCACGACTGTTGAATAAAATATCGCAGAATATACTGATTTTTTTTTAAAATTTGAAATACATCCGCTATGTTCCACCGTTCTCATGTGTCAATAAAATTTGACCTCATAATGCGCGTGCACTAAAGTATGTTACCCTCATGTACATCCATTTTAATTGTATTTCCTCTCTAATGAAACATCTCTCTCTTTTCTGTGCAGGGAAATGAGTGACTATGCAGGAGGAGTCGAAATGATTGGCGATGGTATCAGGCATCGAGTACCGCCGGCCGGGGCTCCGGACGCTGACTCCCTGTCCCTGAATTCTGAAGCACCAGCTCTACACGAAGTTAAGGTACACAAGGCACATTTTCAGTTTTTGTATCGTTGCATTTTATTTCTGTATTAGAGTTAAGGTGAATCACGAATAAGTGATCTCGGGGACAAGCACGATGTCCAGGAACGGGAAGAAATCTGCCGTGCTAAGGAAAAACGCCGTATGAACATTCGAGAGTTGCCAAATTTCTTCCGATGTATTTTCGAGGAAAGTTATGGATAGTTTTCCTTGAAATTGTCATGGACTTTGGGTGAAATTGCAAACAAAATTATCTGAAAAATTGGAAGGAAAATATTCATGAGTTTACCAGGAAATTCGTGTTTTTTCAAAGGAAATTTGGCAATGCTTGAAGGTTTATACGGCGTTTTTCCTTAGCTCCTTGCGAAAATGCCCAAAGAATGAGAAAAAAATAAGAAATGGATTGGAACTATTCAAATGGTCGCAACAGTGGTAGTTGTGAAACTCGAAAATAACAGAGGAAAGCGAAAAAGGCGTCGCGAAGTTGCCGTAGTAACATCGTTGCAAGAAAGAAACTAGTAAAGATCATCCGAAAAATCCGTTTAAAATGTAGAATAATTCAAAGCTAATTCAAATTTCAAGTGTATTTTTTTTTATTTTTTATTTTTTTTAAAAAAAATTATATCTACTTTTTCTTTTTTCGAGCCTTTCGCATTCTTCCATCGAGCAAACAGTCTTTAACGGTGACAATAAGGTTATTTACCGTCTCCAAGAAAAAGAAAGCCTCGGTTCACCGCCTCAACACTCAAAAAGTCAGAGCTTGATAGCATCGCCACAGTGCGAATCGACGGATCGATTCATAAAGTACAGCTTTATGCGAAAATTCCAAGTTGAGTTGGTGTAATCTCGGATTGGAAACTGTTGACCGAATAACTGAATGATTCGACTTTCCAGAAACTTTATTTTTGCACGGCGTCGGAGGGCTGGGTATTCAAGTATTTTACAACTTTAATTCTCGGCCGTGATATCCCGCCATTTTCTCCTCTGTTCGAGTGAAATCACACTCGAATTCAACACTTGCACTGCTGTTCGAAAGACTATGTAAGTACTGAACGAGATTCAATATGCCGTGCTAGGGAAGAACGCCGTATGAACATTCGAGTTTTGCCAAATTTTCTTCGATAAAAATAATGCTCATTTTTGAGGAATGTAATGGATGTTTTCCCTTAAATTTTCAGGGACTCAAGTTGAAATTGCGAACAAAATTGTCTAACAATTGGAAGGAAAATATTCATAAGTTTACCAGGAAATTCGTGTTTTATCAAAGGAAATTCGGCAACGCCTGAAAGCTCATGCGGTGTTTTTGCGTAGTACGGTGCAACTTGTACTTTTGTTTCACTCTACCATGTTCCTTCTAAGAAAGTATCTCCTTTTTTAAACTCTTTTCTTTGTCCTTTTATGTTGCAGAAATTACTAGAAAATGACAACGCCAGCGATTTGGTGGAAGAAGAAAGAGGAACTGGATGTCCTCTACCCAGCACCCCAGTCGATTTCGTATCACTGGAAAGAGAAGTAAGATCTCGTCCTTGCTAAATATTATGATAAGAGTTTTGCTGTAACTCATTCCCAAAACCCTTTGCAACTGATTCCTAATAATATGAACGAACTACAAAGTCCCATCGAAATATTTCGCACGAAATTGAGAACGTCCTACACGATGATATGTACTCGTAATAAACTCGTAACACGAAGGAGTTTTCACGAAATGGAAAACCAAGGGAATAAAAAGAAAATTTCCCTTAGCCCCTTGGCTGAAGAAATACTGTTACCGTCATCGGTCACTTTCGGTCACTCTGAAGGAGATTAGGCTTACCTAATTCTAAGACACTTCAGCACTTTTGTTCAGGAAACCGTTATCCTTCTGATTCATCAAGTTCCTCATCATTTTGAATCATTTTTCACGGTTGCCACAGTCAGGGAAAATTGGGAAATGTCAGGGAATTCTAAAAAACCAGGGAAAACCGGGAAATGTCAGTGAAAATGACGAAAATGTCAGGGAAAATTTGTTAAGTCACCTTCGTTTGCTTTCTATAATGGGTTTGAGGTTTTGAACAACAAATTTTGCCTAAAAACTATTTTCAATTATGTCTTCTTAACCATCCGTCACATCTTTAATTCCGAGGGAATTTCGCCAAAATGTGTCAGGGAATTTTATTTTCTTAATTCTGCGGCAACCCTGTTTCTTCCAAAATCCTTGAAGTCAAAATATTCACTTGCGCGTCAGGCACTGCTTCTACAACTCCGCACAGATCTATTCCACAGTTAAGATTTGACAATCACTCTGGATGCCCGATTTTTACATGCATACATACAAGCCGCTTTCATATATAGCGCACGTTGGCGTTTTTTCAAAAGGTCTTGGTACCCGATCAAATTCCCGAACCAATTGCCATCAAAGTGTCGGGAGTCATCAGTCTTAAAATCATTAATTTCTTAGTTTTAAAATGAAAACTTGGCAGTAATGTCTCCTGTGGCAGGAAATGTTGAATGGTGGCACCTCATTCTGATCAAAATTTGACCAATTTTGATCAAAGAGGACTGTTGCATGGTGACCACCAGTCATCAAGTGGTCTACTTTGACCAGAATTGGTTCGGAATTTGATCGTGTATCCAGACCTCCTCCAAACTCCTTTTAGGGAATTGGCACCTCCTTATTTCCTCTGAAAGCCCCTGTCGCCACCCTTTCACTGGGTGTCCCCCATGTCTCCTCCCAGGAGGAACACCCAATCAAGCATTTTCTTCGGCAGCCTTTCTTGCTTCATCCCGTTAACTTGCCCATTCCAGACAAGCTGTTTGGTCATGACGTCGAATACGATGTCATTCTCGACTCCCCTGATCTGACGCACTCTATCAGTGCGGACCCGATTTCTTGCAGAAATTCCTGCCGACCTCCTCCAGAAATCCATCTCCGTTGCTCGGAGCATACCCTATGTCCGATTTTACTCTCCCTCTGAACTATAACCAGAGTTGAAAACTCATAGTTTTATCATGTTCTATTTGAATCGCGGGAAATGTTATTCGGACCACTAACTATGTCAAACAAGCCTTAATAACCCCATAAGTAGCGTTTAAAGTAAAGTTTCGACAAGAGATGAAATTCGACCGGAGGCCCACAAGCCGCGTCGACATCCTGTGAGTCGTCCGTATCCACTATCCAATCATAGAGTGGGAAAGATAACGCCACTCCTTTGTGGATAATTTACAAATAGTTCGATTGTCGCGCGAAGCCCTCACAATCGCTCCATACCGCCGTGCTAAGAAAAAAACGCCGTATGAGCCTTCAGGCGTTGCCAAATGTCCTTCGATAAAATACGAAATTCCTGGAAAACGTGTGGATATTTTTCTACCAATTTTTTACAGGATTTCAATCACGATTTTATCCATAGCATCTGGAAATTCAAGGGAATATATTCATAACCTGGAAAACTTGTGGATATTTTTTTACCAATTTTTTACAGGATTTCAAACACGATTTTATCTATAGCATCTGGAAATTCAAGGGAATATATTCATAACCCTTCAGTAAAAATAACATTTTACTGCAGGAAATTTCACGAGAAAACCAATGAAACCACTCTTAAAACCTCAAAGTTCGATATAAACGGAGTTATAAGCGTTGAAGGTTTCCAAATTGTGTCTGACCTCTCCCATTGGCTCGATCCACTGTGCGGCACGGCGGGATCAGTAAACTCCGTAAGAGCTATTCTCAATGCGGCTCCTCCCAGACGGATCCTCGGGCCCGAGGCACAATAAACTATAAGAAAATGTCACATCCTTTCACGACTTTCGAAATTACGGCAAAAGTGAGGACTTCTCTGGTGTTACGGCGTATTTTTTCTTCTGTTTTACTACTTCAAATACCACACATGTAGTAATCCTGCGCTTCTACTTTAGAGCCCCGCCCCCTCCGTCCCAAGGAGGACTTCGCGATTAGGAACTACTCTCTCTGAATCATCCGTAAAAACACTTATGTGCATATGGAAATTAATGACGCACATGTTCTTCCTAGAGTCCCTTTATACTGAGAGTCAAGACAATGTGAATCCATTTCTGATTGGTTCCCGTATTTTAGGCCTTCACAGTGTCACAAACGGGAATAAAGATTACATTTTCACCGTTTGCGAAGATTATTATCTGGAATGGACCAGGGAATTAAGGGTTCGGCAAGGAACAAACGGAATGAGAGAAAGAACGGAGAAAGGAATTTGAGAATGGGCCGATCAAAGATTACAAAAACACGTTCAATTTCTATAATCTTTATTCGCCGGCCAGGTTGGCCTAGTGATCAGCGCGTCTGACTCCAGGTCAATAGGTCCCGGGTTCGAATTCCGGTGGTGGCGTCTAATTTTCACGGAATAGACGAGTAGATCTGCTGAAACAGATTCTCCTCGGCCCTAATCCCTGAAAATTAGAAAAGCCTGGAGCATGGAGCCTGATGTCTACGGACACTAAACATTGTCTAAAGTTGGCTGAAGGTGCTATAGACACGAAGCCATTAAACCAGCAGAAAAAAAAAAAAAAAAAAAAAGAAAAAAAAAAAAAATCTTTATTCCCGTTTGTGACTCCATGAGGGGGTGTTGTCTTGACTCTCAGTATAGAGGGACTCTAAATCTTTCTAAACCGAGACAGATATTGTAGTCCCTAATTGCCAAATGCAGTTCAAATGGACCTTAAAGCGCAAACTGAAGCTATTCAGTTCAGCAAAGAAACTGATACAGGATCAAAGGTCAAGTTGCGGGGGTACCTCTTTGTGTTCTGTCTATTTCTAACACCAAGAATCAAGATCTTCGGAAAAAATGCAGAGTATTCTGATTATGCCGTTTTGTGTCAATGCTGATCATATCCCTTCGCTTTAGCTGTTTTTGTTTTCTTAATTGCGATCAGAAACGAATAGAACCCACAAAACTAGCCGCGCGTGCGAAATTTCCTTTTCTTTTTCACTGTTTTATAGACTCGTAAAAATGTAACCGATCAAGCACTAATCGTAGCTCTTACTTCTCTTTAGTAGAGGTAACATCCAAACAGGTCCTCGATTGAGACCACTTTCTCCGTAACCGAGCCTCATGCCGCGCCCAGGAAGAACGCCGTATGAGCTATCAGGAGTTGCCAAATTTCCTTCGTCAAATCATGAATCCTCAGGAAAATTAGTGAATATTCTTCTTCGGATTTTTCATATGATTCCTTTCGTAATTTGATCTAAAAAGTCTGAAAATTTCAAGGAAAAATTTTCATAACTTCCTTCAAAAATAAGTATTTTCTGAGAGGAAATCCGGCAACATTCGAATACTCTCACGGCGGTTTTACTTATTGTTAGCTTCGGATCACCTCTCGGTTGTTGTTACGTTGTTTTCATGATGAAACGGAGTAGCGTGGAAGTATTACAGTGGCGAGGCGTGAATGACCGATTATCGATATTTCCTCATTTAAAGCTATGGTAAAGAGTCGATTAATGAGGTGCTCGTTGCGAACACCTAGTTTATCGATCCTTTCCCATAGGTTTAAATGGTAGATCAACCGATGTATCGCCAAGCACGCCACGCCACGCCACTATGGGAAGTAATAATGCTACTTACTGGGTAGCATCGCGGTTAACTTAGTCGCTTGGATCGACTCTTGCCGCGGTCAAATGATCTCGTAACACAATCCCGCAGGCCCTAGACTAGTCGAAAGTTGCAGACAACCATATCAGGCATTATTACCGTCAAGCAATTGGTGGCAACGTTGCCATACGTTCTTTTTATGCCAAATTGCAATCCTAAGGGGTTTCATGAAATGACCTCGGAACGGAGAAAATCGAGTTTAAAGTTTCCTCCGTCCTTACGGCAGCCGGCTATAAGAATTCCCATGGTATTTTGAAACGCAGCTCCTATTCTGCCGTGCTAAGGAAGAACGCCGTAAGAACCCTTAGGCGTTGCCAAATTTCCCTAGGTAGATCATGAATTTCCGGGAAAATTTGTAAATATTTTTCCTCCAATTTTATATATAATTTTTTTCGCAATTTTACTTAAATTCCCTGAAAATTTCAAGGAAAAATAGCCACAGCTTTCTTCAAAAATTAACGTTTTATCGAAGGAAATTTGGCAACTCACGAATTTTCATACGGCGCTTTTCCTTAGCACGGCAGTATTGGCAATTTTCACCAGGGCAATGGGGGGGGGGGGGTTTACGACGCGTACCTGTTCCCGGAAGAGAGCTTGAGTTGTAGAGTCTGCCGTGCCAAGGAAGAACACCGTATGAACCTTTAAGCGTTGCTGAATTTCCTTAGGTCAATCACGAATTTTTGGGAAAAGTAAATGTTTTACTTCCAATTTTATAGGTAATTTTGTTCGGAATTTTACCTAAATTTCCTGAGAAAAATGTTCATAGCTTTCTTCAAAAACAAACGTTTTGTCGAGGGAAAGTAGGCAACTCTCGAATTTTCACACGGCGTTCTTCCCTAGCACGGCAGTAGTGCAGGGTGTCTACAAGTCCGGAATTTCCGGAAAGTCCGGAAATAGTACTGATTTTTTTAAGGGAGGTCCGGAAGTGCTGAAAAAGTGCGGAAAATCCGCAAAAAGGTCCGGAATTTTTTCATTTTTGTCGCAATTTGAGCGGGAAATTCAAATTTTTGAAATTTTTCGAAATTCGTCAATCGGAGGTACCGAAAAAGTACTGAATTTTTCCGTCGAGAAGGTACGTAATTTCTTGGGAATGCACTGAAAAAGTACTGTAAAAGTACTGATTTTTGGTCAGCCTGCTTTAGTAGACACCCTGTAGTGATGTCATCCGAATGGCCTGGTTACACGCTCTAATTCCCGTCAAATTCCGATCAAAATGATGACCAAGATGGCGGTCGATAGTTATCTAGATTGATGAGTAAAATTAATTAAAACAGCGTGTTGATTGAAATAAGCATGAAATAAGCACGGTTGTGTGGAAATCAGATGAAGGATGAGCCCCACAGCTCCAACATCTACCATCAAATTTTTGCAGGCCGCAGAAATTCGATGGTAGGTGGTGCGCACCAGTCACCATTTGATCGGAAATTGATGGAAATTTGAGCGTGCAACCAGCACAGAAGCGGGGACGGGGACTCACCGGTTGCTGTTCTTGGGTTTCAGATGCTCCAGAGCGGAGTGGGCGAGGTAGGCGACAACAGCGACAGCACGGAAGATCGGGCGCAGAACGAGAACATGAGCTACAAGGCATGGTCCTGCAAGGCCGCGAAGGCCGCCTGGACCGCCTCGTGGAACGTCTGCCACTTCCACCATCTGCCCCAGTGGCTCCAGGACAACGACTTCCTCCACTCCGGCCACCGGCCACCCCTCAACTCCTTCAACGCTTGCTTCAAGTCCATCTTCAGAATCCACACCGAGACGGGGAATATCTGGACCCATCTCTTGGGTAAGCGCACAAGAAAAGAAGGCATAGAGAAAAAAAAGGAGGGGTTTGCATCTTGAGGTTTGTTTACCCTGTGACGTAGGTCGGTTCAACCTGGCTAGCGAAATCTAGAGTCCCTTTATACTGAGAGTCAAGACAATGTGAATCCATTTCTGATTGGTTCCCGTATTTTAGGCCTCCACAGTGTCACAAACGGGAATAAAGATTACATTTTCACCGATTGCAAAGATTATAATCTGGAATGGACCAGGGAATTACGGGTTCAGCAAGGAACAAACGGAATGAGAGAGGGAATGGAGAAAGGAATTTGAGAATGGCCCGATCAAAGATTACAAAAAAGTTCCATTTCTGTAATCTTTATTCCCGTTTTTGACTCCATGAGGGGGTATTGTCTTGACTCTCAGTATAAAGGGACTCTAGCGAAATCCAGAATTCGAAGTATGAAAAACAAACCATGATGTCCCATTTTTTGGATTAAATCAACTCATGATACAATTTCAAGCATTATCTATGGAATGACTCTTTTCCGTAAATTACACCATTCCCGAGAAAATTGATGATAAAAGTCGCTGTACCGACCTACGTCATCAAAAAAATCCAAGATGCCCGAAATGCAAACACCTCCTTTTTTTTCTCTATGAAAAGGAGGACGGAAATCCAAGGAGGGCTATTGATAACGCCCATGTTTCGGCCCATCCCTGCTGAATTTCCCGAACTCTATGAATTTTCTCTCATTGAAGGCATCGAACGTCTCTAGTTTACGGAATGCATCAGGATTTGGTCATTTTTTGTCTCCCCTCGGGTCTAATATAGGCCCAAATCTGGGTCTGATTCTCAAGCTGATTTCTGTGAAAAATACGGGGTTTGCCAATTTGCGGTCGAGTGCAGTGTTCGAAACTCACAGGCTCCAAATGCGCCTAAAAAATCGGCCGTGGCGCCTAAAAAATGAAGGCTCTGCGCCAACGTGGCCCCTAAAAATTGCCCCCTAAAAATCTGAATTTTCATATAAGGTGATCATTCGAAATTTTCAACACTACAAGTGAAAGCCTTTTCTATTCTTCACGATTTCATCCTTTGCGCTTTTGTCTTCCCCAAGTTATAGCTACTTACTAGTTCTGTTGCGGAAACTTCTTGCATCTAACTTTTCACTACATACGCCGTAATATATAGGCAAAAAGTCAATTTGGTCCCTAAAAATCTTCAATGGCGCCTAAAAATCGGGCTTTGTGCGTCACATGGCTCCTAAAACTCGAAGGTGAGTTTCGGACACTGGTCGAGTGCACAAAAATCCTCATTTTTCGAAGAAATCAGCCCTTAGATCCGTTTCTAGGCCAGTATTAGACGCAAAATGAGACCAAAACCCTAGTAACAGAGCCACAGAAGGAAAAGATAAATATTATGTACGAAAGTTAATTTTTTTATATAATGCAAGTGTTAAAAGTGTTAAAAGTGAACATTTTTATGTAACCATCGTATAAAAAAATGTTATAATTTTCGTGAGCTTTTCGCGAACATACTAAAAATTCTTCTAATTCGCAAAAACTCACAAAAATGATGACCTATTTTTTATATAATCGTTACATAAAAATGTTCACTTTTAACACTTTCGTATGCATGCGTTATATAAAAAAATAAAAAATGTGTGTGTAAAATAAATGACCTTATCTAGCTTTTATCATTTTTTCATATATTACGGTCAGGTCTGAACTTTGATTTTTTTTTATATAAGCATTACACGTTTTTTATATAAAACGATCATTTAGATAACAGATATGTTTTTGTTTTACTTTTTCTAGAAAAACAAAAATGTTTTCTGCTACTAGGGAATGATCATATCATAATTCATTTCGTATGAAGTTTTCAATGAGCCAAAACTTGAAGAGGACATTCAGCCAGGGTATGGGCCCAAAACTGGTCCTTAGATATGGAGACGCCTCCTTTGCTCGACATTTTGGAAATTTTTTTCAAATTCGGACATTGTTTTAAGTGCACGTGTTTGCTTCATATTTTTGAAATTCATTCGACATTTTGTCGTCGTTTCCTGCATAAAGGAACGTAACTCCATCCCGAGGTTGCAAAATTGACTCAAGCAACTTAATGGTTTACAAGAATTTACCCGCGTGATTTTCGTTAAAAGTTTTTATACTTATTGCATGAGATCAGAAGAAAAATCATTGAAATTTGCAGTTAGAAGTTCCTGAGATTCACCTCGTAAAAAAATGCAATTTACGCAGGGACTTTTGGCAACAACGAAATCTGGTTAAGTTCTTTTGTAAGGGGAAACGACTATCTCTTGTAATCTTAGAAATGTACTTGAATTTCCTTTGAAATGTTTAACTCGTGTGAAATTTGATAGCATTTTTCTGAATGTACGTGAAACGTTTTCAATTTGAATTTGTCCAAATTAACGTGAGGTTTATCTTTTTAATTTTTCTTTTATGTGATATATTGAAGTTGTTATTTACGAGAAAAACTAATTTTTTTAAACATTCGAAATTACTACCAGCGTATTTTCATGACAAAACCAAAGAGTTACTTAGTTTCAAAAAGCACTTCCAAGAGAAGAAAAATCTCATTTAAATTTGATCAATTAGAGGCAGGCAGTCGTGACTAGGCCATGTCTTTAGGTGGACTTCCCCCAGTCAGCGAACGTTGACCGTCTTGCATGCCTTTTTTGCCTTTTTTCCTTCTTTTCTTTTTTAGATAAACCATATCTGTTGCCAAAAATATTGTTTCAAATGGGTCCAAATTGTGGCGGTACCAAAGTCGATTTTCTCCGTCATTTCAAGAAAAACAAATCCAGAAAAATGACTAGGAGCTTAACTCATTCAGTACTTCGAGGAAAATGAATTTTAAAAAATAAGGCCTTCTGACTCACTCTATCCATTCAATTGCATTCTCGATAATTCAATTTTATTCTAATTATTATTATTCTATGTTGCAGGTTGCATTGCATTTATGGGTACTATGACTTATTTCTTAACAAGGCCGCCTTATGAAACAAAGCCTGATGATAAGATTGTTTTTAGTATGTATTTTATTGGCGCCATCATTTGTTTAGGTTGTTCATTTGCTTTTCACACTCTCCATTGTCACTCAGAAAACATTGGAAAACTTTTTAGCAAGTGAGTATTTTGTATTATTTTCACCTATGTCTTCTCTTTCTATAGGTTTGTCTACCAATTTCAACAATCAGCCCGCAGTATTCAATGTATATCAGTGCTTTTTGTATCATGGTAAACGTTAAAATCAGCCGGATATGGATGGTTTGTTAGTTAAGCATTTATTGTAAAATTTTTCTCATTTTCAGTGACTTGCTTTGTATAAAAACAATCAAGTTCATTCATGAAAATTGTGTGACTTTCCAAAACACACAGTGATGTATCCTATGAAATTCTGGAAAATGAATTGAAAAAAAGCAGATACCTATCTCGCAAAATTTTTTCTCAAAATTCCATTTTCCGGGAAAAGTTCATCTTTTCATTCCCCTTCGTAAACGTTTTAATGAGATGGGCACAACTGTATGCCGTTCACAGTAATGGTGAAATAGGCGGTTTATGACAAAAATAGTTGTGAGATATGCATAGCGTCAGTCGCTTTTACATTTATAATGTAATCCATTTATTCGTGACAGCTGTACAGTGTACAACTATCTCAATTTAAAGATAGAAAACTTAAGAAAAGGGGTTGCATCTCCGCAAGATATCATATGAGGACTTACATGTTACAATAGCGAATGTCGAGTTTTCACATTGTGAGGAAATTGCGTTTGAAGTTTTCGAAGCTTTGCACTTTGCCACCCGGGGAAACGAGAGGATTCTCATAAAGATTTTCATGAAGAGCAACTCTTCCTGTAAAAAACACACGTTTTACGATCTATTGAAGTGAAAAATTGAAGGAGAAACAGCGATTTGAAAAAAGTGTGACATCCACTATTTTTGTTGAAAACACTTTTTTATGCATGAAACAATGTCTTCAGTAAGGGTAAGGCTGGTGAAATGACTGAAATGAACCAAAAGTATGTTAATGCTGAGTCATTTAATCGAATTGAACAAAAAACTAAACCCTCTGTAACTCCTACATCAAAAATAAGGAGCAAATTATAAAATCAGGTAAAAATTAATCAATTCTAGCAAAACAGTCCCGATACGTATCATTTGAATGGCAGCTGCAGCCCATGGCTGGTGCGTGGGTAGTTATCACAAGTGCATTAGAATTTCCGCGATGTCCTGCCGCGCCGGCCGGGGAGAACACTGAGAACAGTGGATTCTCATATCCACTGTTTTTACAAATAACATGGTTTTCAGTTCATATCTCGCCGAAAACTTGCGTTGGAAGTCTGAAACTTTGCACAGGCATTCTTAAGGGCTCCAGAATTCGAAGAAAGCGTTTGCCTTAAAAATGGCGGATGTCAGAGACCGCTATTGTTACATATATGTCCTCATATACGAAGTAAAATTATACCCCATTTTCCTCAAAGGAAGACATGTGTAATATTTTTTCCCCGCAATACTTCCAAGCATTACACAGTGAAACTTCATTTTTTCTCTCAGATGTTTCATTCATCATTTTAAGCAATGACAAATGTTACTCTGTTTTAGATTGGACTATTGTGGTATTGCCATCTTAATTATGGGCTCTTTTGTTCCTTGGCTGTACTATGGATTCTACTGTCATTTCTATCCGAAAATTATCTACATGTCCATGGTGATGGCCCTCGGTATTATGGCAATGATCGTCTCTCTAGGCGAAAAGTTTAGTTCACCAAGTTTAAGGAGCGTTAGGGCAGGTATGCTTACATTAAGTTTTCCTATCCTTCTTTCAACCATTCAATCAGAACATTGTTTTTATTTTCCCATCAAAAATAGGGAAGATGCAGGTTTTCTTGTTGTATTGTATCAGTCAAAAATTGACACTGTACTTAGTTTGATAGTACAGATTGGTTTCAGCATACAGACAAAAAGTATTAAATGGTTGTCTTGGTAAAATAAACCCATTTCTGAGATAAAATCAAAACTTACGAAGAATACCCTACAGTTAATTCAATGATAGGTACATTCATATTTTACTTAAAGAGCACAAATTGTTTATCTTTCGCTCTTATCTGTAATGACCTGTGACTCTGATAAAGCCCCTTCAAAAATAAATCTCTCAATCAGAAATAATTTAAAAACTCGCTGAAAGTATACGCCAGAAACTACGGTAAGAAGAGAACTAATAAGAAAAAATGAACCATAACTGAATGGACCGCTAGGCAAGGTGCAAATTAAAACATTTTTATTCATGTTACCTGACCTACATTTCACATACAACATGATTCGCACACTAAAAATTGCTAAAATTATCTCCTTTGCAAAATGCCTTTACAAAATTGTGATCTTATGCATAACTTTACAACTCTTCGATATTAACCTCCGCAGTGCTCTTTCCTGGCATGTGGCGAATTTTCTCTCATAAGTACAGGCCTCTATCGATTCACACTGAAACTTTGCGCTGAGCTATGTTAATTTTTGTGTTTTCTTTGATTTGGCAAAAAAGCTCATAGATAATTACGAAAAGTCCAAGAAGTGAAAATCTGAAAAGTCAAGGACGAAGGAAGGGAAATTTTGAAAAAACCCAATCTTATGTATCAGTCCAAAGACTTAAAGACGTAGCACTCGTATCTAAAAGCAAAGAGAAGAGGTGAAGCGGCCCTGGCGCTGTGTGCTTCTGTGAGTGTACAAGTGAGTGCAGGAATCGATGCGTGGCAAATGGAAATTCGATTTGAATATGTCCTCTTGAATTTTTCACTTTTCTTGTCCTAAACTCATTTTGAATATGTACCTAAAACGAAAAAATCAATTATGTTAGAACGATGAATTTTATGATACACCTGCCTTGGCTTGATAGCAAGCAGGAATCTCAGATCAAAGTAATTTTTCTGTTGGCTATGGGGACCACACTGGTTCAAGCAGACTGTTACAATCCAAGATAAGCGTTCCCCCTGCAGTGAGATTAATAAGTTGATGACGGACAATCAGCCTTCAAAGATATTCTGAAGTTTAAAAAAATATGTGGGTAAGTGATTTGAGCAAGAATCAACCTAGAGCAATTTGGTTGCACAATTTTATTCCATTCCCACTTTTTATTTGAATTTCAAACTTGTTCCAATATTATCATCAATCTTCTAGCCAACAGGAGAAGTGGCTTCATTTTTTGCTCGAAGCGCTCCGTTGTATTGTCTGTAATAAAAATGTCCAGAAAGCTCTGAAACTTGAAATTAGTCCTTCCTTCAGTTTTTGTCCCTCAATGGCCTGTTTAACATTTGTAGCTACCTCCTCATGTTACCCTTGTGCTAATCATTTCATCTTCCTTTTTTCTAATCATTCCTTTCTTTTCTTCTTTTTCTAATCAATTGCGGTTTTTTCAGGAGTTTTCGCTGCTTTTGGGTTAAGCGGAATAATTCCTGCAATTCATTATGGTTACACTGAGGGATGGTTCAACAAAGTTGCTCAAGCCTACCTTGGTTGGTTGTTATTGATGGGTGTTCTTTACATCCTTGGTGCTTTATTTTACGCGATGCGTGTGCCTGAAAGGTTTTTCCCAGGGAAATGTGATATTTGGGTAAGTGTCTGATCATTTTACATCACCAAGTCTTACTAAATCTTTGCCCATCGGCTTTAAGCGATAATTCTGAGCTGCCAGTTGACTCGACAGTAGGGCTGTGCGAATATGGTTTTTCTGATGTCGAATCGAATTGAATATTTTAAAAAAAGTTTCGAATTCGAATCGAACCGAATCGAATATTTTTAGTTTTTACCTATTTTTGACCAAAACCAACCTCTGTGTTGGTTGAAGTAAAAATTGAATAAATAATTTTTTTCTTTCTAACTTTCAAGTTTTGATTAAAGAAATTACTATTATGGATAAGAAGATAAGAATTAATCAATTCATTTAATTATCAAATGGTTTTGCGAACATTTTGATTTGCTGGGGAAAGAAAAGAAGGGAGAGAAAATTGTTTCCTTTTAGGACGACCAATTCATTGAACTGTCGTGGAACTGCAAAATTGCTTCTTACTGTCCGAAAATTCGTTTTATTCAGTTTTACTCCACATCAATGCTGATCTCGTAAAGACAGTCTAGGAACAATGTAAAGACCGGGGTGCCTCGCGGGGCGGAGAAGGATAGGTTATGGAGGTTAGTACATTTGCTCATTTGTACGCCATGTTGATGACGTATTAGGTGGAACTCAAGTGGCGCGAATTTTGAATTGATCCGTCTTAAGTGAGTGCCATGCGCTGCATGAACCAATGAGACGTTGGCCTTTGTTTACCCAACCTCAAAACAAGTAGTTTGAACTGCGCGCCGTATCGAGTTCTTACTAGTACGTCATCAATACGGCCGGATGTACGAATATTCGGTCTTTTTTTTTTTCTAAATCAAGTTATTTTATTACGGTTATTTACAGGGAGGAACTATGGTGGACAGGCCATAGCCCGAAGGCCTTTGATACATACTAAAATGAAACCTATCTGTTTTATTTACATTATTTTTATTTGTTTCCCCCCTTGTGTTTAATTCCCTTTATAGAGGTTCTTAATTATAATGTGGGTCTTGAAGTCTCCTCTTACTTCAGATTGTACTATGTTTTCTTGATCGCCTCGGCATCACCATTGATTGGTATTTCTTCGAGGGAGGAAGGGTTGGTTACTGCTCTTTCCTGCTGGTCTTCTTTCAGAATTATTTGCTTTTGGATTAAAGTGTGGTCTTTTTTGTTTGATATTCGAAGTTTAGTCAATGTTTTCGAATAATTCGCTTATTTCGGGTTTCTAGGTTCGAGTTCGAATCGAATATCGGAAAAATTATTCAAACTCGAATATTCGAGATTTTCGAATATTCGCACAGCCCTACTTGACAGTGATATTGACAATTTTTCAATGCCTTCACAGTAGATCGCCAGGAACCAATATCCAATAAAAAATCTATAATTCCCTGTTCAGAGAAAGGAGAAGATCGTTTCATCTCTCTGGGAAAAGAAGATGAATTTCTGTTTTTAAAAGTGAATATTCCAAGCATTCGTCCTCTTTTTATTCGCAGGGAAAAATTATTCATGCCAGAGGCAAGTTTGGAAATAAACTTCTGGATGTGATATTAACTTGCGCTTTTAACATTAGTTCAAGAAAGATTGTAAACCTGAAAGAGGCATGGGTCTTCATCCCACCAGTAAGGGTGCTGGTATTTATAACTGATTTTGCAAACACCTAGGGCCTCTTTCGCTGCAGAGTGGATAAATCTTTGATGAATTGATATTGCTCTTCCGTGGTGCCCAAGAGTCCATCCCCCAACTTCTCATCTAAGCGTCTCCGATACAGAGCCTTGACACTGGGGTGCTCCAAACTTTCGATGTTATACCATACTTCATGATTTTGCGTTCCCTGTCTCTGCTGTTGCTCAGGCATTGGCTCTTTATCCTTAATCCCTTTAACAGGAAACGCGATATCTGCTCGGAGGAAATTATGGTCACTGCCGCAAGAGAGTCCCCTGCACACTCTAACTTGCTGCAATTCCAGCTTAGTAGCGTGCTTCAGAAATCAGAACTAAATTTTATAAAGGAACTCCAATATATTTCAGTGCAAAACTGAGGACTAGGCAGGTGTTATAAAAATACTTGAATCAATTGTTTTCAAAAGAGAACAGGTCCATTCCTCGATGAGTTTTAGTCAGCATGTCCTTTTATACAAGCCAAGGCTGAGCATAAATGTGCTTGTTCCCTTTTGAAAACAACTGATTCACTTCCTGAGAGCTCTACTGACAACTTACTTGGTTCCCTATAATTAGAGGGTAGCAACTGGTTGTAGACATCCAGAACCCAGCTCAGTTTTTTCAGACACCCCAGTCGGCAGGCTTCTACTGTTTCATCAACCCACATCTACCTTTAGAGTTGATCTCCACATTTGAGATTGAACGCAGTTTTGTTCAGCATACAATTTTGAAGAGAAATAAAATTTTCTGCTTGACTTTTTACAGGATCCATATTTCTGTGCTTATTGTGTTCATTTTTTTATTGAACAAATTAAAACGAAGACTTTCTTGTTTCAGTTCCAAAGCCATCAGATATTCCATGTTTTAGTGATAGCGGCTGCCTTTGTGCATTACCACGGAGTCTCAGAAATGGCTGTGTATAGAACAACGATGGGAGAATGCAGAGCTCAGTCTGCAATTTACTGACAAATCTAATCCTCAGAATTTTCTCCTGTTCAATCTTCCATTTTAGATGTTATTATTTCAGTTTTTTCTGTTTGATTCCCTCACGTTTAGTTAGGCCTTAATCATGAAATGAAGGTTAAAATTTTGCTTTTTTTTAGTCCCATAAGAAACCCTTAAGTCTTTATTTTTTATTTTTAAAGTAATTTATTTATTTATTCCATTTTCAATATGTTTTACTGTCATACGATTGATAATTGAATTGGTTTCTTGCTGATGTGAAGAGGTTAAGTCCATTGCTCTGTTCTAAAGTTGTGAATGTTATTTTATCCCGTTACCGGTAAATTGTCAGAAAATATGTCCATATATTTCTGTGATTTTTACAATCAGCATTTATGCAAGGAACCAATTGAATTAACCCCCATTCATCTTTTTTCAACTAGCGCCATCTCCCACACATATTCAAACAACCTCTATTTATATTTGCCTTGAAAAGGGTGGGACTTTGGGTCAAAAATTAGAGAGTACATAGTTCTCCATGGATCAATAATAGACAAATCACGTGTACATACTCGTGATGCAGAAGTTAAATCAATGTTTGAATTTTTATTCTTGGTCTATCATAGCTTCTGCTTCTTTTATTATTTCTAGAGCATCAGTGGTCCCTGAAATCCTCACCCCTCACATTAATCACATAAGAAAATTATTAAAATATTTTAGAAGTGTAAAAAATTAAGAATACTTAACTTTAAATGGTTTTCTAGCTTTCATCCCGGAACATAGGCCTCTTTCTTAATAGTTTTTGCGTAAATATCGGTTTTACAGACTCCAATGGCATGGTGTGCTTTGCATTATATTGATTGATCTGCCATTTAAAGCTATGAAAAAGGATTGATGAAGAGAGTGTTTGCAATGCACACCTTAATAATCACTTCTTTACCACAGCTTCAAATGGGGAATATTGATAAACGGGCATTCACGCCTTGCCACCGACAGGGACATTTGTAATGTTAATGTTGTTGTTTCCCTAATCAAATATTTCCAAATTTTGACGGTTTCAGTGAAAATGCTTATCTCATAAATCTCTGAAAAGTGCTGTTCATTTCTACAAAAGTGTTTTCTGAATGGTTAAAATTCAAATTTAAAATTTTTCCGCAACCATTTGAAATTGGCCTTGGTTCCAAAACTTGAGGTGGTTTTTTGTTGTTGATAATCTGTAGAGTCTATAGTGAAATTTGTATCTTAAATGCACTAATTTTTAGTCCAATAATAATTATTCTTATGTTTCTCTGCTTGAATATTCTCTCACAATATTATATGATAATTCTCTAAGAATCAATAAAGTTTACTCTTGCCAGAGTGGAATGAAATTTAAAAAATACTATTACAACTCAGCTGATCAACTACAAACATCCACCTATTGTATTTCAACTTCTAATATGTGTTAGGTGTAATATGTAGGAACCTATTTTCTCTTTAATTTTTCCTTCAAAAATTTTGCAACTTGGTTAGTGTCTATTTTTTTATCTCATGCTTTATACTTTGTCTTAGTTATCATATCCTTTTCATTAATATTTCCATGTTCTGTTCCTGCTACTCTCTACTATTGAAAAAAGTTATTTTATTGAAGTTAATATACTGCATGTATCAATTATGATAGCAGATTCTGAATAATCTTTATATATTTTATTAATGATATCTGGAAGCTTTGTTCATATACTGTAGAGGTTTTCCCCCTATTAGTTCTCTGATAGCTACCTATCTATCTTTGCAGTGATCAAATTAAAAAGTAGTGTATTTCCCTCGGGAAATACAGGAAAAAAGACTATCAGTCGACTATCAGCATTTTAACATAGGATTTACATATTTTCCTCTCTTCCAATCAGTACAAGATTTAAACCAGTTTTATGGTGACTCGTAAAGATTTAGTCTAATCATTTTTTTCTCTGTCTCCCCAACTTTCTTTGACACGCTAATGTCAACAACTGTCACTTAATAATCAAGTCAATATCGTAAATTTGATAATAAATAACATTTTGCAGGAACAGAATGTGTAGCCTACAACTGAGAGGCTTTTTTGTTCTGTATACATTATGAAAGAATTGGTGTAACGCAAGAATAAAACATAAAAGCAAAAAAGAAGCCTTTAAACTGTCGATTAAATTATAGATTATCTCTCAGCACTGAATTCGAGAATGTAATTCTGAATTCAGAGCGTTTAAAGTCTGATTGTTTAGGTATTACTGTACAAATTATTCCTAAATATTTAATTTTAGTTGAGTAGAACCGCTTCAAACCTTAATGCTATATCTCTTCGCATCAAACTCTGCGAGCATTTTGTTTGTATCTACCGTCTGTTGATGCGCTCATTTTAAAATGAATCAAATTTTATTAAAAGTAATTACTGAAACTAAATATTCTTTCTCTTTTATAATTTCCCTCTGGATTTGACCGCATTGACAATTAAGCGTTCAATTGATACCTTATAATGATCTAATATCGCAGATCCGTTTATTTTACCAGTGTACTGTGGAAGAGTAACATTGATGCGTTTAAGCATCCAAATTTGGCTGCTGCTCAAATTTTATGAAAGTAAATGAAGTAAAATTTCAATAGAATCTTAATCTTGAATTGTCTAAAACAAATATCATGAGTTAAATTTTGAAGTTTCTTCATTATTTTTTTCATAATTGTTGAGGGTTGCGTATGCAGCCCCTGAGGAGCATTACAATTTCATGGGGAATGTCTCTCTTTGCCAAAATGAAATTTCATTTGGCACCTCTGCTGCTACAAAGCATACAATATTTTAGCAGGAAAGTTAGTTTGTGATTCGGGGTTGTTCACAAATTATGTCTGGCACTTTGGGGAGGAGGTGCAAAGGTCAACCAAAAAGTGTCTTGCCAAGAGGAAGGAGGGATCAAAGAACCTCATTCCCATAATGAGTGTATGGGGTTCTTTGTTCGTAATTTCATCTGTGTCTGAAAATTCCGAGGAAAAATATCTATAACTTTCTTCTGAAGTTGTTATTTTTTGAGAGGAAATTTGGTAATGATTGCTTATGTCACACTATCAAAACTAGCCATAAAAATATCAAGGTCAGGTGTTGTGATTGGCTAATTCGATGACTTGGACCAACCACGGCACTTGACCTTGACATTTTGATGGAGTATTTTGACAGTGCGACACAGGCTATTCGAATACTCATACAGGGTTTTTCCTAAGCGCAGAAGTTTGGACATTTTATGCAGGAAGGTTGTTGAAGAAGAAACAGTTTTAAATGAGAATCTGTTTGTTACTGTGATACATCATAGAAATGAAGTGTGAAGCGACAGCAAAAAATAAAAAATAAAAATTTAAAAAAAAACAAAAAAAACGCCTTCAGCGAATTGAATGGGCACACCGCGCTTCTAGGAGGTCGAATAGTGGTATTCCGCCCAATATCATATTTTTCATCAGTACGTTAAAAAACATAAACAAACAACTAAAACAAACTTCACTGCAAAACGAAGAACAAGCATTAGAGTTAAGTTTTTGATTGACTTAGCAAATTAAGAATAGACAATTCTTATAGAGAACTTCATATTCAATTTGAACAGACTTTAGTTTAAGGAGTGTGAGAATGTTAAATTGAAGAAGATATAAATCGCTTTTTTTCACTGGGCTTTTGCATGTCTCTCAAGTGCCCACCGTATCTTAAGTCAGATTTTAATGTGGGAGCTTTGGAATCATTAATTTTTTAAGGTCCTCTCTTATAAGAGCTTTTTTTAAGGTAATTTTTTAGGTAATGGTTTTTAGTGGTATTTTTCGAGATCTGAATCCAACGCCTTTCTCTGCATGCCCGATACTGCCGTGCTAAGGAAAAACACCGTATGAACATTCGAGAGTTGCCAAATTTCCTTCGATAAAATTCTTATTTTTGAGGAAAAATTGGGAGGAAAATATTCATAAGTTTGAAAGGCAATTCGCATTTTATCAAAGGAACTTTAGCAACTCCTGAAGGTTCATACGGCGATTTTCCTTAGCACGGCAGAATAGGAAAGAACTGTTCCCTCACCAAATGCGGGAGTTTGTCATCTTATAGCGTTGTTTAGTAAAAATAATATACTGTCTAAACTGCCATGCTAAGAAAGAACGCCGTATGAACCTTCAGGCGTTGTCAAATTTTCTTCGATAAAACACAAATTCCCTGGTAAAATTAGGAATATTTTTCTTCCAATTTTTGAGGGAATATTCTTCGTATTTTGATCTGAAGTCCCTGAAAATTCAAGGAAAAATATTCATAATTTTTCTCATAAATAAACATTTTATCGGAGGAAATTTGGCAACTCTCGAATGTTCATACGGCGTTCTGCCTTAGCACGGCAGTAAAGGAAAAAGGAGTAATCAAAATCATCAGGCCATGTGAATCGGACCTCGAGCAAGGCAAGACTTTATATGCATAATAACCTCTGGTCTAACTCAAAAATTGAAGGCGCAATATGGACGTGCGCAACCTCCTTTTGTGTCGATCAGAGATAGGAACTAGATTAAGTTCATCAAAAAGGAACCAACCCACATTAAGTTGAAACTGGAAAAAAGAGGTTGGGAGTTTAATTCCTGAGTAAGGCTCAATGAAGAATATAAACTTTAACCCCTCTTTTCGCAAACTATTTTCTTTCTTCACCTTTCAGTTTTCAGCACGAGAACATACATATATACAGCTAGTGGAACTCAAATACATATTCTCACCTCAATGATTTCGAAAATGTGGGTTGGTTCCTATCCAATAAACTCGGTCCAGTTAACCATCAACATGAATGAGTGAAGTAAAAGTCGAATTCGTAGGTCAAAGGCATTTCGACGGTGAAAGTCGGCAATCACATAACTCGTTTGCGGTATCTGAAAATCTCCGCCTTCTACGTCATTTTTTTAAAGGAGAGCAAATTGACATTATTTCTTGAAGTTTTTGCAGAATTTTCTTCGCATTGAGAAGAAAAATCATGACAGTTTTAAAGAATTGCCGTTGAGTAGTTTTCCATTTAAAAAATAAAGTATGACAGGAAGTCTGCGACGTCGCAAACCGAGTTATGTGATTGCCGACTTGCACCGTCGATTTGTCCCCGGATGATGGTTCAGTAAATAAAATTCGCCTCATGATGACTGATAATTATATTAATAATTTTAGCTTCTGACGGCGCGGCGGCGCGTCAGAAGTTAAAATTATTAAACCACATTTATGTTTGTTCTTTCATAATTTTTTCGTTCATTTCTTATATAAATGGAAGGCTTTGACCACACAGAGGTAGGATTACGGAACCTAACTTTCGCGCGAAGTTCCGTGAATTTTGGCTAGTAGTGTTGACAGGTCTTTCGCAAAAAATTTATCCGACACTAGTAAATGCGTCTTATGCAACCCTCTCTCTGGCACGTTCACTTGATAGTTTTTATTGATGTTTCATGTTTCAAAACGAATGAGAAGGGGGCGGCAAGTAGGTAAATCAACAGTAAATGCGTCTTATGCACCCCTCCCTCTCCGGCACGTTCTCTTGATGGTTTTTATTGATATTCAAAACGAATAAGAAGGGGGCGGCAAGTCGGTAAATCCGGCCCCGAATTTTTCTATGGGCAAAATAGGGGCGAAGTGTAGGTGATTTCCACTCTGGGATCTCCATTTCCTAAAATTTCCAACAGTGTGAAGTACCTACCTATTAGTCCAGGCAAATAAGCCATGAAAAGGGCTATAGCCTGCAAAAATCCCGGGTAGCAATGTTTTCATCGATTCCAATGTAATTTTTGACGCTGAATCCGAATTTCAACTTTGCGCCATTAAATTCGGACCGGAAAGTTGCCAAATTTGGCAAAAATGGCCTATAATCGGACTTTTTTCCGGATTATGGCCTGTAACTTGCCAAAAATTGATCTGACGATAAAATTAGCTATTTTCAGAAATAAAGCTCGTTAAATTCCCTATAAAAAAGTTCCTGAACACTTTTTTGCTCAAGGCAAAATCAAGCGCGCTGGCGGGCTCCAAACTTTGAAAAATGAGCGAAAATCTGGCTATTTGCGGGTTATGGCCTGTTACTCGTCCAAACTTGATCTAGCGACGATTTGGTTGTTTTTAAAAAAAAGTTCGTTAAATTTCCCAGAAAAAAGTTCGTATACACTTTTTTGCTCAAGGCAAAATTAAGCGCGCTGGCGGGCACCGAACTTTGAAAAATGAACGAAAATTGCGTTTTTTGCGGTTTTTGCAAAAATCCCGGGTAGTTACGCTCTCAGTGATTCCTACGTAATTTTTGACGCTGAATCCGAATTACAACTTTGCACCATTAAATTCGGACCGGAAAGTTGCCAAATTTGGCAAAAATGCCCTAAAATCGGCCTTTTTTCCGGATTATAACCTGTAACTTGCTAAAAATTGATCTGACGATAAAATTAGTTATTTTCAGAAATAAAGCTCGTTAAATTTCCTGTAAAAAAGTTCCAATACACTTTTTTGCTCAATGCAAAGTCAAGCGCGCTGGCGGGCTCCGAACTTTGAAAAATGAGCAAAAATTGTGTTTTTCGCGGTTTTTGCCCGATGTCTCCTGTTTTAATCGTCCGACGAGTAATTTCTGCTCAAATTAAGTGAAGATGATAAAATTTACACTTAGTGAAATGAATTGATGTAAATAATAAGGATAACCCAACACATTACAGTATGCGCAATTTTCGCACATTTTACAAAGTTCGGAGCCCGCCAGCGCGCTTGATTTTGCCTTGAGTAAAAAAGTGTTTAGGAACTTTTTTATAGGGAATTTAACGAGCTTTATTTCTGAAAATAACTAATTTTATCGTCCGATCAATTTTTGGCAAGTTACAGGCCATAATCCGGAAAAAAGTCCGATTTTAGGCCATTTTTGCCAAATTTGGCAACTTTCCGGTCCGAATTTAATGGCGCAAAGTTGAAATTCGGATTCAGCGTCAAAAAATACATAGGAATCGATGAAAACATTGCTACCCGGGATTTTTGCAGGCTCTTTTCCTTGTTTGCCTGGACTATATGTATATCTCCTCTGCATCCGTGGTTTCTTATCCAAGCGATTTTTAATTTAAGCGCCCGAACCTCGTGGTGGCGTTTATTTTTTGAATTCGGAAGTTCCGATACGATGACGGACAAATCGCCACGCTATTGGGTATTTTTAGTACCACTCCGCCAGGTGGTCCTACAAAAAGTTCGACCGAAAATCATTACCTATGTCTGATTTGCTGACAGCGCTGTTAGATCAGTGTAGACAACTGACGATACAGAACTTTCTCGAGGAACTTCAAGCTTGAAATATTTGCTTTTCAGCCCTTCGCAAGGAGATCGCGAACCTGTAAGAGGACACCAGCCTTGAAAGCTCCCTCCCCTCCCACCCATGACCGACATTCCTCGATTGATTCCCCTGTCAATTTTA